CTTTTTTGTGCCCTTCCTTTTGTTCTTCCTTTGCTGTGACAATGGGTCTAGTCATCATCTGTGGCAAATGTATCATGCTCTGTAAACCTATATGTTGCTCTTGCCCTACAATCCTACCTACCCTTCTCTCCTCAATAGACCTCATTTTCATGCTTGCCTAGCTTTGGTGTGTCTGGTCATTCTTCCGCCATGGTGCACCAAGAACCGACATTTCCAGACTAAAACCTGACATCAGTATTTATTGGAGATGTGTAGTTATTCAGCCCATGGGGAACATGCATAAGGGATATAAACTTTAAGGGACTTCAAGTCCCTTCCTATTTCATTAGCTGAGAAGGCAGTGAGAATTTGGTATCTTTTCCCCATTGGCATCTAGGTTTTCTTCTATTAATGATGATTTATTTTGCACTTATTGAGATATGCAATGATGTATGCATTCCCTTATGACGAATCCTTTGCATCCATGGGGTAAGCGCTATATTTACATTACCAGAGAAGCACAAAGTATTTTGTAAGATCACTTTTTTTCCATCACCTTAAACTCACTGTTTGTCTTTCAGTTCTGTTACTTAACGTTTTTCTCTTAACAGCCCTCAGTTGCAGGTTCTGAAGTTTGGTTTAGGATAAATCATAAAGTTTACATACGGATTTAAAATGTTCTCCTTGGGAGTGCTCTATTTTCTGGAAGTTGCAGTAAATCCAGGAATGAGCAAAAAGAGGTAAAGTATTTGTATACAATATTGGAGCAATGCTGAGAATTTCTCTGAACACTTGGGAGTTGTAATCCTTAGATCAGCGGTCCCCAACTGAGGATAATTTTGTCCTTTATTTGCCATACTGGGGATCATCATAGTTGGGGGGTGCTACTGGCATCTGGTGTGTGGAGGCCCAGCACATTGACGATCACCCTGCAATACACAGGATGGCCCCCAAGGAACAATTATCCATTCTGAAATGTCAAGAGCACCACTGGTAAGAAGTCTTGCATTAGAATAACAAAAACTTTTCATAGCATATACTTTTATAAATTACTACTTTCAAAAAGTTTCTTAGACAAAGTATTTTATATATGTGTACTGAAGTATGCACAAAAATAGTGCATATATATACTTATTATGCAAAGTAAAATAATAAATGTTTAGTGTTTGTGTGCATACGTACACAAAAAGATTGAATTAAATAGGTATTCTTTTGTGAATTTGTTGTGGGAATCTATTTTTCTAGTGTATGAGTCTTTACATTCTTCTTTTTGCTTCCCAGAAAATGGATTATTATAAAATGTTTAGACATAACAATATCCATTATTAGACTATAACATTTTAGAGCACAGTGCATGTCTTATTCTTCACTGTATCACTCAGAAAACCTAGATCAGTTCCTTATACATAGTAAATATTAAATAAAGTATTAGATAAGTAGATGGGAAGATGGACAATGAATAAATTCTGGTCTAAGATTTAAAGTTTACGATGTATTTCCATTTAGTCAATGTATGCTTTGAGCAAGAACCATCAGAAAAGATCTGCTGAACAATATTATCTAACATCAAATTCACCTCTTTATCTTTGTGTTAGGTAGGAAATAAGTTTTAGAGCATTCTTGGCTAAAGTTCATTTGGAGGACATAATCCAGATACCTGGGAGATGATTATGGCAATACCTAATGACATATCTGTGGCTCATTAGTTAGGATCACTCATTGTAAAGATGCTATCATCATCTACTTGTACATGAGAGAATATTCCTAAATGTACAAATAATTTATAAAAATGTAGCCTGTCTCATGATGGCAAATGCTCTTAAGGTGAAATTTCTAAAATCTTATGTAAAAATCACATGTGTTGGTGTAGCAACATTATTCTGAAGTGAGTACATCCAACTTTTATTAAATCCAATATTGGGTCTGTGGTCCCCACAAGGATAAGAATACTAAATGCTCTGTTGTAAAATAATGATGAACAGTAAATATGAGTGCACGCTTAGGTTTTGGCACAAAAGAGAGCAGGCTAAATCCAACAGCTAGGAGCTTCCTGAGTACTGGAAGTTTCCAAAGGACTGAAAGGGCAGAGAGGGAGGGCTGCTACCCCTACCTTCCCTTGTCAGGTATCCTGCAAAGCATCCTATAATAAACTATGGAGGAATCTGGTCTTCGCCGAGCAATAATGTAATGATAGTTTGTGGGAAAGTGTCATAAGTGCCACCTGACTTTCATTTAAGGAATATTCTGGGAGAATTTACAGAAATTCACAGGCTTGGATTGCAAAAACCTTCACAATTCTCTAAACCTGTGGCCATGAAAGCCATTAATCATCAATCAGGCACTTTCTACAACTGGGCCTCCAGCTGCAACTCAATACTTTCAACACCATGTTTCTGGCAGCCATTATTGATTAATCAGTTTGCAAACATGATGACACCTATTTGCTATCCCTTAATAGGATACCAGGATCAAAAGACTCTAGCTCTTGGTCCAAAGTATTTATCAACTTTTCTTGTCTTCTCTAGCACGACATAGAGTGCTTTGTTACTCTATTTTAGTTTTAAAACTTTATTTTTTTTAACTTTACTTCATCATAGAGCAAAGGAATTTTTTAGATTCCATACATAATTTACCTGATAGGTAAACGGTGGAGAGTCTCAACACAACCAATCATAATTTGACATATAGTAGTCCCCCCTTATCTGCAGGGAGTGTGGGGGTCCCTTCCAAGATTCCCCAGTGGATGCCTGAAACTGTGGTTAGTACCAAACTCTATATATACATGTCTTTTCCTATACATACAAACCTATGATAATTTATAAATTAGGTGCAGGAAGATATTAATAGGAATAACTAATAATAAAATAGAGCAATTATAATAATATGCTTTAATAAAATTATGTGAAAATGGTGCCTCTCTCTCCGTTTCTTTTTCTCTCAAGATATCTTACTGTACTTTGCCAGGGGTAACTGAACCCTGGAAAGCAACACTGCAGACAAGGGGCGCTACTTTAATTTTGTAAAGATAAAGTTTCCTAGAGTTAGACTAAGATTCAGTCATCACATATTGCAATCATCCTGGGAGGCCAGGAGAATTCTTCCCAATGCTCCTGGTTGTCAAGGCAGCAAGACCTTTTTCATCGAGCCCTTTGCCCAGCTCTCTACCCCAGCTCCAAAGAACTATCTGGAGCCACGCACTGAGTCACTCACAGTTTCCAGCAACTTCGAAGCCTAACTGCTCTCCTTTCTGCGCATCCACTTCATGAAGCAAACTCCTACTAGCAGCAATTCTTCTGCAAACATTTTCAGTCTTTCTTAGCCCAATGTTTTTTAAACGTACTAACATTCTTCATAATTCTATCCTCCTCCACTTACAACTTCTCGTCTTCCAACTGGGATCCTTCTATGTCTCCTGAGAAGATTTGTATTTTCTAGATATTCATCTCCTGGGTCTGGCCTCTTCACAGGACTAATTATGAGTCACTATAGAAATTTTATATATATATATACATATACATTTATAAATTCTATAGCTAATATATGTTAAAAATATATTTCTAACTCTTATCTCCCTGAGCTTCCAATCCTTAAAGAGGAGCACGGCAGCGCATTTGTTTATTTGGCCAATGAATTAGTTACTAGTAGAGGTGAAAGTATTTTCCCCTAAGGGGTATGGTTCACCAGGAAATGCAACCAAGTTCAGGACAGGGGTAGAACAGTGACCAGAAACTTTGTTCTCAAGTGAGTAGACCAGTGTCTCTGGTTTTCAAAGTGAGAATTGAACTCAACTGGAACAAAGTGGAGATTTAAAAAATACACATCTTGGTTTGGGAAAAAAAGTAAAAGCTTACAGAATCAGAAAAGGATGTACAAATAAAGAATCCCATGAGAATTTCAACATAATAGGAAGAAAAATACACTTCCAATGAACAATACTACTAAAATTCAGACTTACTCTTTAATCAGAATAAATGAATTTTTTATAATAAATTAAACCATGCTAATAACATCTTTTATGACTTTTTAAAAATTTCTTAAAGAGTATCAGATATATAGAACATAGTGAGGCACACTCTAAATCCGTATCCCTTGTAGTTTCTGTGGTGTCAGGAAAAAATCTATGCATATTCAGCTAACTGGTCTTTTTCAGAATTTTAATGCTAGAGTAAAATCTAAGCATTGTGGTGAAGACTTTCCCGAATAATCTGAAAAGGAAATTAAATGCTTCCCTTTTCTCTAAATCAGTCTCCACCAAGTCAGAAAGAACTTTTAACTGGGTGCGTTAATTTAAGGAGGCCCATTTCAGAAAAATCATTCACTATTAGGAGCCTCTGAGCTTGCTAAGTGCAGGCTCTTGGTATAAAGTTCTGATCACGGAAGGAGGTTACTGGCGCCCCCTAGGGAAGAAAAACATGGTAGGTTTCCCCGGCCGGCAGGCGGCACCCTGTTTCTGGTTATTATCAACGTGAACTAGAACAGCTTTGGAAACCAATAGGAAGGGCCAAGGGGACTGCAAAAACGGGGTGCTCCTTCGCATCCAGACTACTTCCCAAGCAAGCAGGTGGGAGGCGGGAGGAGGGGAAGGGTAAATTTACACCTCACGGGTGCCGTGCCTGCTGTCTGGGCGATGGGCACCCTTACACCTTTGACTCAGAGGGTACAAGAGCAACTCACGTAAGCGAAACGTTTGCGGCCCTGTAAGAGTCTGAAATTTTTTTAAAAAAAAGAATACTCTGGACACGTCTGCTTTGGACGCACCATATACATGCACAGCGACAACTCTCTGGGAAGTCAAACCTTCTGGTCAGCAGGGGCGCTGGGCAGGGCGGCCTGCGGCACGCGTGGAGGACACAGTGCGCTGCGTCCTCCCGGTGCGCGCAGCTCGGGAACCCCGGGCGCAGCGCCGCGCAGAGCGGCGGGCCAGGGGCCGCTCGGAGCGCCCGCGCCACCCGCCTCCCCAGCCGAGACCCGGGACCGGACGCAGGGAGGAGGGCACAGGCCCAGGGCGGCGCGCTCGGTACCCGGAAGGCGGCCGCCTCTCGTTCGCGGCTCCGCGGCCGGCTCGGGGTGAAGGCGGCGCCGGGTCCCGCGCCACCGCCGCCGCCGCAGCACAGCAGCCACAGCAGCCACCGCAGCTCCATCCTCGCGCCGGCCCCGCCGTTTTCTCTTTCGATTCCTCGGCTCCTCCCCCGCCCCGGCTTGGAGGGGCGGAAGGAGCCCCGTGGGCCGTGTCGTCCCGGGCACACTGGCCTTGCCCTGGGTCGCCTCGCTCTGTCCCTGCGAAGGCGGCGGACGGGCAGCTGCTGAGGGTTTAAGGGTTTTGTGCTGTGTGTTTCCCCTCCTCCTTTTGGAACCGTCGGGCACTGGACCTCGTGCTGTCGGGACTCAGCTCCCGGCCACGCCAGAGGAGGCTGAGAGCCACTCTTCATGCAGCAGTGTGAACGTGCAAACGACGGTCTCGGCCTTCAGACTTAAGTCCTTTATTTTTCTCTGCCTTTTATCTCGAATGGAAAGATTCAGTCCTTCATCTCGTTTTTTTTTTCTTTCTGCCTTGCTCCCTACCGTCCAAGCCCTAGTTCTGAGACAGGGTGCCAATTCACACGGAAGCATTCGCTCTGCAGATGTGTATAAGCGTGTAACGAAATTGTATGGTTGTGAAATTAATGCACACTTTCTTGATTTGTTTATGGCCATTTCCAAACTCTTGAGGCCTGTTTCTCCATTTGCAAAGGAAGATAGAGATAGCACTTACTTCTTACGTTTGTGATGAAATTTAAATAATTCATGTAAAATGGTGTATAAGAAGTCTGGCACGTTTTCAGTGCTCAATGTTAGCAATTTATTTTATTTCTAAGGTAGCTGGTTTTTTTTTTTTTCCATTTTATTATTATTACATGGCTTTCCACCTGTTTAGCTTAGTTCATAATAACCCATGCTTTGCACATTTTTTCACCTTGCTTTTATTTTTGTTTTTTCAAACCATTTCACTTCTTATTAACTCAGTCCTCGAGAATGGACTGCAGAAGGAACAAAAGTAATGCTCACATCAGTTAACATCTCAGTCTGGCAACATCTCAGGTTAAAGATTTTTCTAGTGTGCCGTAGGAAAAAACTCTCCTTTAAGGAGAAAGGGCAACTTCCAATGTCCGTTGTCACAGGCGTCACGGATGACTCTGGGAACAGCACAGCTCTTGTTTCTCAGAATTGAATGTGCGTGGGGGATGCAAAATCAGATCCAAGAGTTGTAGAGAGGGTCCTGACTCTGCTTTTCTGTCCAGCTTCCAGCTGGCCCTGCCACTTCCGGTGAGCCAGGCCACACTTGGAGTAGTGAACAGTAGCCCACTGCTGCTGTTTCTTCGCTTGTCTCCACGCAAGGCGAAAATGGAAAAAGGGTTGGGGTATCTACCTTGGAGGAAATTCTGTCTGCCTTTCTGGGCATTCCATCTTCTGCTTATATCCTTGGACAGTGAGTAGAAGCTGAGGACTATTGTCTTCTCTTGGCCTCAGAGCCGGGTACATAATTTGCAGGGCCCAGTGTAAAGTGGAAATGAAGGGTCCTTCTTCATAAATCATTAAGAATTTAAGATGGCAGCAGTAGAGCATTAACACAAGCAATGGAGCCTTCTAAGCACTGGCTCCTATACAGATCGTACATCCATGAAGCTGGCTCTAATGGGCCTTTCTATTTTAATCTATTCTAAACGAGGATTCCAGATGTCTTTGAAATTCATGTCACAGCCCTCTTAGATTTTTAGAACCAACATCTGATTTATGTCATTAGTTTTTACCTAACTACAGTGAGTTATAATATGCTCTGATGCAAAATGGGTAGTAAAAATAATAATATTAACGTAAGAATTGTCTTCTAGGTATTGAGGAAAGACACAGGAGTTTTTTTTTGTGCATCCATAACAAAATATATTGCTCTTGGAAAGTAGGGTGATAAAAATTTAGATAATAAGTTCACAGATCATTGTTCATGTTAACCTCAGCAGTTCTTTTGCATCTAACTATTTCTTGTAACTCACTCAAGCATATACATTTCCTTTGTAACTGAGGTTTGCTTTCAGACCATAGGTCCTGTTTATCAACGGCCCGGTTAGTAAAAAAATTTAAATGTAAGAAATCATCTTTACCCCAGGATAATTGGTATTGGGAAAAAGCCATTTGAACTAAACTCACTTCATAAGCTCACATCAACAAATATTTATTGAGCACCTACTCAATGTCAGCATTGTTCTAGCAATAAGGATACATTGATGTGTACGTAACTAAGGAGATGAAAATCCCTACTCTCACGGAGCTGGTAGTTTAGTGAGGAGAGATGTGCAATAAAATCACTACAGGTTGAGTATTCTTCATCCAAAATGCTTGAAACAGGAAGTGTTTGGATTTTGATTTTTTTTTAATTTTAGAATATTTGCATATACATAATGAGATAACTCACAGATGAAATCCGAGTCTAAATATAGAATGCCTTTATCTTTCATATACAAGTTGTACCCATAGTCTGAGGTGACTTTATTCCATATTTTTAATGTACATGAAACAAAGTTTTGACTGCGACTGGTCACATGAGGTCAGTTGTGAAATATTCCACTTGTGATGTGATTCCACTGTGAGCTCAGGAAGTTTCAGATTTGGGAGCCTTTTGGATGTTCAGGTTAGAGATGCTGAACCTGTACAAGTGTTAAAGGACAATAAAACAGGATAAGGAGACTCGTGTGAGGGCCGGTGCTGCAATTAAGAGTAGGCTGGTGGGGACAGGCCTTGCCAATGAGGAGACGTTTGAGGGAAGACTTGGAGGAGAAAGTGACCATGTGGATATTCAGATATCTGGGGGAAGAGAAGCTAAGAGAGAAGGAATATTCAATGCAAAGGCTTTGAGGTGGAAATGTGTGTGGCATGTTCCAGAAACATAAAGGAAGTGAGTGTGGACGGAGTGAGGAAGAAAAGGGGGAAGAGTAGAATATGCGCTAAGTAAGGAACACATAGGTTGTAAAGGTTTTTAGGTCAGTTAAAAGAGAGATCAGAATTATCTATTAAACAGTAAAAAAAAAGAAGTTTTTAAAAATTGACTTGAAAAGTGAAGGTGACAAGGATCTTCTAATTCTTAGAATAAACACTATGAATTGCATCTATATGTGAGAATGCAATTTTTTTCATCAAATATGCTAAATAACACATGTAGTTTCCTTCAACTCTATGTTAGATATATATCACTGCATAAAAGATAACCCTCAAACTGAGCATCTCAAAAATAATCTAATTTTTATTATCTCACACCGTTTTCTGTGGGGCATGTGTCTGAGGACAGCTCAGCTGGGTGGTTCTGGCTCAGAGTCTCTGATGAGGCTGCAGACAAGCTGTGGACGTGGCTGCAGTCATCTGAGGGCTAACTGGGGTTGGAGGATTTGATCTCAAGTTCACGTGGCTGTTGGCAAGAGCCTTCAGTTCTTCTCAGGCTTTGGGACAAAGGCTCAGAACCTCAGCAGAGGGCTGGACTTCTCCAAAGCACCACTTATGACAGCTAACTCCTGAGATTGAGGGAGTGGGCCAGGGAATGGCTAAGATGGACACAGTAGTGTCTTTTGTAACTGAACCTTGAAACATACCATGTCTTCTGCAATTAGTTGCAGACCCAGCCTGGGAGGCGGGAATTACACCAAGGTGGGACTCACGCAGGGCCATCTTGGGGGCCAGCTACCACAACCTCACACTGGATGTTTGCAGCCCAATAACAACCCTGGTCATTTTTGTGTGTGTGAAATATTCCAGAGCTATTTTTACAAATGTCTCCTAACCTTTTTGATATTCAAATCATGACTGGTTTTTTTTTTTTTATCTTGTCAAGGACCTTCTAGGTTTTCTTCAGTTTTTAATCATGTTACTTCATTTTTAAATGGCTTCACTGTGGAGTTATTTTGTTTGTTTCTATTTTTACTTAATACACATTCATGTGTTTATTATGATTGATCAAGCATTGTGCTAAGCATTTTACAAAATGTTAACTTTAATTCTTGTAACAAATCCTTGCAGCAGACAGAATTATCATTTTTATTGTATAAATGGGGAAACTGAGGCACAGGAAAGATACTTGCTCAACGTTATGCATCTGGTAACTGGTAGATCTCCTATTCGAATCTGTGTAGTCTGGCACTAGTCTATGCTATGCTGTCTCTATAATTCTCATTATCACTTTTATTTACTTCACAAAATCCTGTACCTTCTCAACATATGTAATAATATTATTACTTGGTTATCAATGAGCACTATAATTACATGAAATATTCTAAACTTCATATAATCAGCTAAAGATTGTCAAGTATTTTGAAACATAATCTGAGGATTATGCTAGGGTCCATCTTGGGAAAATGGGAAAATGGATTATGCTAGGGTCCGTTTTCTTGGGAAAATGTTTGAATGGATACTAATTTTATAAGAGACTAGTTCTTTAGTGAGAGGTTCCATGATATGAAGAATTTTGCATTCCTGCTCAACCTCATGACTGTAGGTTTTCAGATATAGAGTACACTGATAAGAAGGAACCGTGTCTGTATCTCTAATCTTTATAACAACATCACAAGGTAGGAATTATTGTTCTCACCTTATACATGAGAAAACTGATGTGTATAATGATTAAGGGATTTATCCCAGATCCTAAGTGGCCATGGGGAGATGTCAATTGAGCTGTCAGACTTCAGAGTTCATGCCTGTTTTTTCAGCTACACCAGGCTGCCCTCAGGTACTCCAAGGCCTATCTTTTGTTGTTTGTTATTACTATTTTTATTTTATGTTGACTTTTCTTTATTGATCATACCTTTTGAAGAACACTAGAAGCTTTTCATGTTCTCATTTAACTTACAGAAAAGCATGGCATTTAGTCATGCACCTGAGTCATTGTATTCTCTCTGAGTGGAATTGTTTGTTTTTTCTCTTTAATTTTTCTTTTTATAGTATGGGAAAAGACATTATTCCTCCATGCAGTTAATTAGCTAGTGTCTGATTGTAAGTGTGCTATTGTAATATTTGATTGTCATTAATCTTGGGATCTATACCTGAATTTTTTTTTTTTTTTTTTTTTTGAGACAGTCTTGCTCATGTTGCCCTGGGTAGAGTACAGTGGCATCATCATAGCTCACTGCAACCTCAAACTCCTGGACTCAAGTAATTATTCTGCCTCAGCCTCCTGAGTAGCTGGGACTACTGGCACATGCCACTATGTTTGGCTAATTTTTCTATTTTTTTTTTGTGGAGACAAGGTCTTGCTGTTGCTCAGTATGATCTTAAACTCTTGACCTCAAGTCTCACTCTGTTGCCCAGGCTAGAGTGCCCTGGCGTGAGCCTCAGTCACAGCAACCTCAAACTCCTGGGTTCAAGCGATCCTTCTGCCTCAGCCTCCTGAGTAGCTGGGACTACAGGCATGTGCCACCATGCCCAGCTAATTTTTTCTATATATTTTTAGTTGGCCAATTAATTTTTTTGTATTTTTAATAGAGATGGGGGTGTCGCTCTTGCTCAGGCTGGTGTCGAACTCCTGACCTTGAGCAATCCTCCTGCCTC